TTCTAGAGAATTTCTATGTCAGGTTCCTGCGGATGCCCTTGAATTCAGTGTAGTAATATTTTCGGACTTTTTATCAATAAGTGTGTTGAAGCATACATTTTACGCTGCTAATATGTCTAAATACATATGTTATCCCTTGATTTTTTAAATAATTGAGAGCTCTATTTATTTATGGGATTATTAAGTGCTGATGAAAATATAAATGTTGAATTTCAGTTTAGTAAACTGATGTTTTAAAATTCCATACTTCATGGCCACACTAATTTTTAATGTTTTTAGTGGTTACTAATTTCCAGTTGTTGAAGAACTTACCTATTTACAGCTTAAAAGAATAGCTATTTCAACCCAGTGGTTGTCTGTTTTACCCAGTAGTCCTTGGATATTTAACTTCCTAGGTACAAAAGTGGGTGGGAGGGGGAAATGACAGAAAAAGAAATTATAAAATTTTGCAGCGAGTCTTTTAAAATTAAGTATAGAGGAGTAAACACTGAAGAAAAACATTTTCTAACGAAATTTTAATAGTACTCTAGTATTGCTAATATAACTACGTAAAGCCTAAAGTTTTCTATTTGAAAATATTAACCAGAAAGTGCATTCTCTTGGGTATGATTCTGAAAGAGCAGTGGGAGAGTGCCTTGCAATCTTGGCTCACTGCGTATTGGCTATGGCAAGGTTCTTTGTACCACCTTGAACTCCAAACATTTTTCCAATGTAAATGTGTAGGAAGCCCTGTTGAACTTCAGCACCGCACCCAGACAGGCAATATTCACTCAGTCGTTGATAGACTTTAAACTATCCAGTTGTGCCTCAGTTCTTAAAATTCCTGGCAATGAGAAGCCAGAGCAGGTTTTGGCTGCTTTTCTGCTCTGCCCATCTGTCACCTTCGTAGTTTTCCCTCCTTCAGGAAGGAAGCAGCTGTTTCCCTGCCAACAGGTACTTCCTTCCCACCTCCCACCAAACTAGGGCACTATTAAACAAAGGTGCACCGTGACTCGGGTTTCTGACTATGAAGCAACAGGACTGAGTTGGTTAACTCTGTGGTCAGAGCTACAGCTGGAGTTGACAACCTTGCAAATGTTAGTTATTAAAGGCCCATGATTCGCAAGAGAAAAATCAGTGGAGAGTCACACAGTAAATCATTATTTAACATAGGTTTTGTTAAAGGTAGAATTATGGAGTGCCCTTTTCTTTTACAATTAAGACAAGAATATTATTTCCTTATAATACCTCATGTATCCTAGGTAGGTAGATAGGTAGATTGATAGGTAGGTAGGTAGGCAGGTAGACCAAAAGGAAAAAGTTAAAAAAAAAAAAAAAACTTTAAAGACTGTGACAGAGTCCCTAATTAACTCTTTAAAGCTATTGCCTACGGACTTTTAACAATTATGTGGAGTTTTTGCAACTATGAGAATAAATGGAACTGGTCAACTCTTGACAGTTGCCTCAAGGTTCAGTGAAATGACGTCAAGGGTAAGATTGTGTCTGTGTGTTTAAAATTTTCTGGGTAATAGTGTTCTTGTGGTTCCTAGTTGTTCCTCAATTCAAACCCCTATATCCAGGTTCCTGTTGGATATCTTGACCTGCTTCCAGAGGGACTCTAACCTCAGCATCTTCAAAATGAAACTTCTCTCCACACTAACTTGTTCTTGCAGGTTGATGTCCTCACCATCTAATTTTGAAACGGCTACATGGAAGCCTCTTTGACTTCTCCCTGATTTAAATCCATATTAACCACCAAGTTCCGTCAGCTACTTCTAAAATGGATTTCAAATCCCACTCCAGCCCACTAGTCCCTCACTTAGCACAGGTTTTTGCCTTAGTTACCTCTCTGCTTGTGTCCTACCTCTCTTTTGGCTCAGTCTTCACACTGGCTCTAGAGTGATCTTCATCCCCCCCCCCCCCCCCCCTTTCACATCTGAAAACTTATATCCTCTGCAGTCCTTACAGTTTAGGCTGTTCTGTAAGGTCTTTTGTGGTCTGGCTGTACCCAAAATGACTTTAGTCCTCCCGTTTCCATCCCAATAACCCACCCTTTCTCCTTCCTCTGCACATACTAGACTACTTGATATTCTTTACATATACCATGTTTTTATGTGTCTGTCCTTCAAAAAATATTTAAGTATTTATTGTGTTTTTGTGTGTCTGTATATGTTTGGGCATGCAAGTGTCACAGCGCATGTGTGGAGGTCGGAAGTCACTCCTTCCACCATGTGGGCTCTGAGGCTTGAACTTGAGTAGTCAGTCAAGCTTGGCAGCAAGTGCTTTTGCCAGCTTATCCGTCCTGCCTGGCCCATGACTGCTTTCTGGTTGGTTGTTCCTTCTCCCAATGATATTCCTATCCTTTTCAGTCAGGAAAATGTCTTTTAAAATATTTTTTTAATCTATTGTTTTGTACTTAGTAGAGGTCAGAGGACAACTTGTGGAAGTCAGTTCTGTCTTTTCACCATGTGGGCTATAGGGATGCAACTCAGGTGGTCAGGTTTGGCAGCAGGAGCCTTTACACAGTGAGCCATCTCACCAGCTCTTTTTTAAATTGCATGTGAAGTTTAACTGAAAATAGTGTATATGTAGTGATTATATAATATTTAAACTATATATATAGTGAAAAACAAAAAGTCTGCCTTTTACTACGTGAAGTTTATTCTCTGTTCCCACAGGTAACATCTGCTAACAATTTGGTCTGTGTTCTGTAAACTGTATTACTCTGCATTTCCATGTGTATGTAGATGCAGGAAGTCAACATGGCCTTGGCATCTCTCTTCATTTCTTTGGTCCCTTGTCTAACTATTCCTCAAGCCTTACTGACTTTCTCTCCTACACTCTAATCCTGGTTTTGGTCTCTGCTGCCAGTGTGCTCCAGACGGTGGTCCTTTCCTCCCTGGCTTCTCTTTCCCAGTTATGTTTACCATGCCCATCCTGGCCAGCTACCTGTTCATTCTGAGTTAGCCTTTTAGAAGTGTTTGCTTCCTATTATTGTGAGCATACCAAAATGTATTCATTCTGGCTCAGGAGGCTCTGAAGGATTGGCTCTTGCCTCTTATTCTCTGTGTTCACTCTCACTGGGTAGCTTTCTGTTTAAATACCTAGTATTTTCTCCTTTTAGGTCCCTTTATCAGATCCTTTTCTCTGAAGGTATGAAAGCCTTTATTTCTATAAGAATATCCTATGGCCGGTAAGTCTTACATAAGCTAAGGTTCTAAGAGTTTGTATGGGTAATTAGCATCACTATAGGAACGTCAATCATTACTCCTTAGCTCACATGACAATCTTTGCAAAAACTTTTTTTTTTTTTTGAGGCATGGTCTCACTGTAGCCCCAGCTGGCCTGAAACTTGCTATGTAGACCAGGCTAGCCTCAATCTCACAGAACCTGCTTCTGCCTCCTGAGTGCTGAGACTAAAGGCATGAGCCACCATGTCTAGCCTCTATCAAAAACATTTTTAAGATATTAGTATTGCTAGTCTGTAAACTTTGACTTAAAGTAATTAACAGCATTTAAAGTACAATTTGTCTTATATAATAAATTTCTGTGATATATTTTCCTTTATTGTGTTTGTTAGAAAATTGTAAATGAAAGAAACAATCTGTGGTTACCAAAACCCAAAGCTGCTGGATGCCAGAACCCTTAAGCATTTTTAAAAGTGTTTGCCATCCAAAATAACCAGGTTGCTTTTCAGAGGCAGTGATTAGTTCAACCTATTGCATACTACCACAAGAAACCACTCAAGATACTTAGCAGTAAAACAGGGAAAGTCAGGACTTAGGGGGGAAAGACAATGATTTTTCTATGGGTGTTTATGAATTGGTAGGAGACTGAAGAGGAGCCAGGAAGGTGATGTTCGCTAGGATTCTAGGGGAGTATCAGAGAATAAGAGTTAACCTTGGCCAACAGCTAGAAACTCCCTTCTATAACCAGGAAGATGAAAAAAGTAGGCAAAGATAATCAGTAAGTGTTGAGTTGACTTGCTTTTACAAGGAGTTTAGGAGTACTGAGGTGTGAGAAATGACCATGCATCTGATTACTCTGATTTTCTAATTATTGAAGAATAGGATATTTGAAGACAGGGTCAGGAGTGAATTTAGAAGTCTGTGAAATGGTTCTTTTTCTGAGAACAGAAGATCAGTCAGGCCACATTAATGCCATGTTGCATTTGAATAATAAATGCAAAGAAGTGGACTGAATTGACTAGGTTTGATAGTAAGCTAATTAGGTACTAAAGTATGCTGTGGCACTATTAAGCATTCTGCCTAAAGTGTAGTGAGAATGATTGAGCAAGGGTCTTGAGCACGGTCAGAGAAGTGAGCAAGAGGTGATGTACTAGCCCGCCTTCAGAATCTAACCTTGTAATCTGCCATATGAAAGTATGTAGAGAGTGGTCTCATTTGTGGCATTTCTGACCAAATTTTTTCATGGGTAATTTTTTTTAGCTAGAGAAGCAACCCTAAAGGGCAAACTTCTACTTGAATTGCATTTACTTGATATTTGTGCCTACTGTTCATGACAGCCAAGAGTGTGTTTGTTGACGTCAAAGTAAATTTTTCTCTTAAAAATTGAAATAATCTTTATTTTAAAAAAACAATGAAGTACTTGTTATATACCAAGCATTGTTCTAGGGCAGAAACTTTAATGCGTTCATTCATTTTACCATTTATTTGCGATAAATGCTCATTGTGGGTCTCATTTTATAAACGAGGATATGGAGACATGGAGTGATTAGGTAACTTGCCCAGGAATCCAGACCTGGGAGGTGACCAGCATATTGGAATGATTACTATGAACACAAACTATGGAGCCAGGTAGCCATGGTGAGGATTAAATGGGTCAATGTAAATTATGCTTAAACAACAGTGCTGAATGAACAGTGAAAGAATGTTGAATCAGTAGCTCTGATTCTTGTGGTTATGAACAGTTAACAGAGTGATTACTTCCCTCTGTTAACTTCACTACTGAACTTAAGTCCAGCTCACTGGAAAATGCAAAACAAACCTATTCCTTTTTTAGGTGTCATCCTCCCTTTATGCATCCAGAACACTGATCCTTCGCTAATGGCTGCTGCTTGTTCCAGAATAGAAATCTTGTGTAGATTCTTCAGGGGACACCTGTGAAATAAGGCTCTCATTGCTTGGTAGGCAAGGTTTCCAGAAACTTCTCTCAAGGCAGTTTGCCTTCCTGGGTGGGAAGTCAGAGAGGGTCTAATAACATGAGTTTTTGCTGACAATAATAAAAATGAGTATCAATATTATGTAATACATCTAGAAGGTTCAATGTGGGTCCAGACACCACATCCATTAAATACACATTTGTTTAATCCTCATAACAACCCTATGAAGCAGGTGCTATGAATTTTCCCATTCAACAGATGAAATCAAGTTCGTTTTCTCAAGCCCCTGTTCATAATTTTTCCCTTTTGAATTTAGGCCCTTTTTGTTTGTTCTTGGTAATTTTGTGTGAATGTGCATGCGTGTGTGTATTTGAGAAGTCCCTGTTTCCCAACTAATTAGTGAACTTGCTAATTGTGTTAGTGCTGCCACCTCTAATTTAAAATCAAATGACACATTTATTAAATATGATACCTTTGGATATCATTATTTATTACAGGGAAATAGGATTTCTTTCATAAGAGGCACAGTATTGGAGTATATGGAAGGAGATCATTCCAAAGCTGTATTTTTAAAAAGTGATTTATTATTTGAAATAAGAGATACCCAAACCATCCATCCTAGTTTCTGTTGTTTGTTTAAACATATAAACTTTGTCATATGTATAAACATATATCTCTTTATCATATTTAATTGAAATTGATTCACTTGTTTTTAGATGAACCATTCCTACGGAAACAAAGAACCAGTTTCACTCTTTCCTCTTTACTCCTCTACCATTAAAGAAAAAAAAAAAGTACTCTGTAAGTTAAAAGTTCAGAAGAAAAAGTAGAATTCAAAGAATGAACTGAAACCCCGTATTATGTAAATAGTAATAAGCCCACTTGTTTCTCTAAAGAAAATACTCCCCAGAGGTAAACATTTAAAGTCAGAGGAATCGAGCAATCTTTGAAAAAAACTACCAGCTGCTGGGGTGGGAGAGAGGGAGTGTTTCTTTTGACTTTCCTAAAAGTCTGGAACTATCACCTTGAGCTCTCCAGTTAGTGACAGGCAGGCTTTCTTGAACATTTATTTGCTCTTTGTTTCACTTTCTTTAGGATTTTAAAGTCAGATTTTGATTAAAAATTACTTCAAGCCTTTTTCCTCCTCAGTATCTTTGAGTTCATTGGAAAGAAGTGGTAAGTAATGGTGATGGTAATAATTTTCAGGTGGTTTTGAGTCAAAAATTACAGTTCTTGGAGCTCTTTATTTTACCAGGTTTTGCTCTTGCTAACTGAATTAAAATTTTGTGCTTGGGACTAGAGAGATGACTCAGTAGTTAAGAGCACTGGCTGCTTTTGCCATGGATCCAGGTTCAGTTCTTAGCACCCA